CAGCCCTGCCCATGCTCCCCACTACACATGTATAGCCCCCATAGTCCTTGTACGTGCTGTAAATTGACTTAAGTAGCAATTTTTCAACTTAGTCTGTTGTGGAAGTCTTTTTATCTGTATATCTGATAATATCTTTTACAGCCAGAATGTTCACAGTGAAATGAATGTACTGAAATATTAATTTAACAATATGTTTTAAATTTTCTAGATATGGCGTTTTGAAAGTTTGTCAATTCTTCATAAACTAAATAGTCACAAAAGCTGTGTGAGATGTTGTGCTTTCTCCAGTAATAATGAATTATTGGCCACAGGAGATGACAATGGAGAAATAAGGGTATGCCGTTTTGTTATTTTAAAATTATTTATTTCATAGTTTTAAAAATAACTATGAATTATCTATGTAGATCCGTAAAATGAAAGGTAAAATGAAAATCTTAACTTACACTTTCTGTACCTTTTGTTCATGACAGAAATATACAGGTATTTGAATTTAAAAATTCTGTAAAGAATAGAGCATAAATTAATGGCAAACATCCCATTGGCTAGTTATACTACAAAAATGCAGTGGTGTACATTGCACTGGGGAATTGCTGCTAATTAATAAGTTGCTGCTTCTGTCCTTTGTCATGAGTCATTTGCAAAGGTTGGTGAAGGCTGCAGGATACTAGTGGCAACTCTAGTTTAAATTTTATTTATTTATTTTATTTTATTTTATTTTATTTAACTTATATGCCACCCACAATACCCGAAGGTCTCTGGGTGGCTTACAGCAATTTAACTACAGTAAAAATGTTCCAAAGCTTCCTTAGCTATCCATGCTTCCTTCTCCTGGCCATTCAATAAAAGAATGAGAAGATTAGGAGGCTGCAGAGGTCTAGAAAGTTGCCAATGTTGAAAAATGCACCAGTAGCACATGTTCTTTTGGTCACCATGTAACGAAGATAAGTGCAGGAACCACCACCGCCCAACTCACCCTGGGGAATTTCAATGAAATATATTTACTTTTGAAAACACTGTCAAACATGATTTATTTTCACACTAAAAAAAGCAATTGCATTGAATGAGATTTGATGGCTGAAAATGCAGAAGACTTTTTTAACAAGAACTTTTCTTTTGAAATGCTTCCCATTAAAAGCTTTGTAAATAAAAAACAGGTTCATTTTTGTGCATTAAAAATATGAACCTCCACATACCACTTGCAGTTTGAAATACAGATTACAGTTCCCTAAATCCCCCTGCCAGTGTGAGCAGTAGCCATCCTGCACGAAAGGGCAGGTGGGGTTTCATCATGGTGAAGACCGGTCAGGTTTCGGGAGAGCTCCCTGAAACTGACCAGAACCCCTCAGATTTGAGGTCCCCAATGTAAGGGGCGGAGGAGAAGTGGTCAGAATGATAACTTTTACCTTGGTTGCAAATAAAAAATATTTCCCAAAAGGGCAGGTGGGGTTTCATCATGGTGAGACCGGTCAGGTTTCGGGAGAACTCCTGAAACTGACCAGAACCCCTCAGTTTTGAGGCCCCCAATGTAAGGGGCGGAGGAGAAGTGGTGTCTGAAGCAGCAGAGGTGAAAGAAAGGGGAGAGAAATGGGCAGAAGCTGCTTTTTTATCCCCTGAAGTTTTTCTGAGTGCACAGACTGAGGTGGAAGCCATGTTGGGCAAATTTCTGGGAACACCCCTTGCAGAGAGCGGAGTACAGAAGGATTTTGGAAAATATCCTGATCAGAACTCTAAGCAAGTCAAGATACGTGTTTTATATAAAGCAACCTTTAAGGACCTAAAACAATGATACAGAAGAAAGCTGGCCTTAATGAAAGCTGGACTTAATGAAAGTGGATTAGATCCTGTAGCGGCACCTGCTGGAAAGAAACTGGATAGCATCTTTAAGAAATTTGGAAGATGACGGCAAAGGAGGAAAAGGCCCCAAGAGGCTCGCCTGCACAGGAAGTAAAGCTGAAATTATTGGGGCAAGAGACACTCCTTAATGACTTAATGAAAGTGGATTAGATGCTGTAGCGACACCTGCTGGAAAGAAACTGGATAGCATCTTTAAGAAATTTGGAAGATGATGGCGAAGGAGGAAAAGGCCCCAAGAGGCTCACCTGCACAGGAAGAAAAGCTGAAATTATTGGGGCAAGAGACACTTAAGGATTGGCAACAGAACATTCAAAATACTGTATGTTACCCACAGGATTACAGCAGATACAAGGAGGGATGTCTCAGCTAACTGAATAAATTAAAGATTGAAGGTCACAAATGGCTGCTACCAAACACCAAATTATTGAAAATAAAAAAGAAATATTGAAAATACAAGAAATCTTTTTAAAAAACCAGAAAAAATGGTGTATGTTACCCACAGGATTACAGCAGATACAAGGAGGGATGTCTCAGCTAACTGAATAAATTAAAGATTCAGGGTCACAAATGTCTGCTATCAAACACCAAATTATAGAAAATAAAAAAGTGATATCGAAAATACAAGAAATCTTTTTAAAAAACCAGAAAAAAATGGAGATGATAAACGCAGAGCTGGTAGTGATGCAATATGAAAGAAAACAAGATGAAATCAACCTGCTAAAGTTACTCTCTATATATACAGTGGTGCCCCGCATAGCGACGTTAATCCATTCCAGGAAAAACATTGCTATCCGGAAATGTCGCTATGCGGGGGGGGGGAACCCCATAGGAACGCATTAAACTCCGTTTAATGCATTCCTATGGGTACAAAACTCACCAGTAAGCGAAGATTCCCCATCCAGCCGCCATTTTTGCCGCCTCGCTAAGCGAGGGCAGGGCGCGAAAACGGAGCGGGCAGCCATTTTCTTCTTCCAGTGGCCATTTTGGAACCGCCGATCAGCTGTTCTGCAAACATCGCAATGCAAAGATCGGTAAGCGTTTCACTTACCGATCATTGCAATGCGATGTTTTGCCACCTAAATCATCGCAATGCAATCGCATTAGCGATCACAAAAAATGCATCACTATGCGGATTCGTCGTTAAACAGTGCACTCGTTAAGCGAGGCACCACTGTATTACAAAACATTTCATAAAGCGGGTCTTGATTTTCATATTGTAAGTTTTTCTATGCTGCTTTTCTCCCTGTATTCATGCAATCATATAATTGGAATTCAATATTGTAGTTTATATGCCTATTGTTCTTGGTTATTAATTGTTTTTGAAATAGTCTTGGGTCTGCATACAGGGAGAAATGCAGCAGAGAAAAACTTACAATATGAAAATCAAGACCCGCTTTATGAAATGTCTGTAATAAGTGTTGGAAATGTAAAATACAGGAGGGGACTTTCAACCATTTTAGGAGAGGTAGGGAATCAGAAAATTATTGGAGATTGTTGCAGATTATATGAAATATTGAAAAAAAAATGTATTTTGTGAGGTATTGTTTAAACTGGAATTGTGTTCGTTGAGTATCATGTCTGAGATTGTAGACAGAGAAATTAAACACTTAATACACTTAATTATTGTAGTTATAATATAGGAAACATTGGAAGAAAACAGAAACACAGTTATCTTAAAAAGGACACAAAATTATTTTATAGTTGGACTTGAAGTATAAATAAAAGAAGAACACGAAGGTCCAATTAGGACATGAAGAGATTAGTAGCTATAGTAATCCTGGTAGAACCTGTTAATTAAAAAAAAATTAAAAATCTAGTAGAATGGTATAAGTGGATGTAAAAGTACCCTTGCACTCTCTGGAATTTTACCCTTCCCCTACCCACCCATGTCCAGTCCCCCACTCCCCTTACCCCCAAATCCTATCATTATTGAAAATGAATACAAATTAATTAAAAAATATTTCCCAGAAGAACCGACTTTATAGTGCAATATGTCAGCCAATCATCCTGAATCTTCTGTTGTGAAACTTGAGAAAGGAATGGTGGGGCCTTTGCCAATGCATAGCTCAGTGGGGAACAATATGACTGAAATCAATGGTTGCATTTATAATATGCTATATTCGGAACGTATCACTTTCTGACTGGGAACATATTTTCTCTTCCTTCTAGTGGTGGAATGTGGATACTGGCCAGCCTCTACAAACATTCTACACAAATGGAACCAATCTGAAATCATTGCATGTATCCCCAGATTTCAGAGTATGTGTAACTGTAGATAACCTTGGCATTCTTTATGTGCTACAGATTATGGAAAAATCTTTTTAAGACAGTTTTTGCAACTGTATTTTTTTTTTTGAGCCAGAAGCAATTCTAGACAAATCTTTTTAATGCTTATGAAACTGTGAAGTAATTTTTTACTTTGACGTGGACTAAGTAGATGGTACATTTGTAATTTTTTTTCTGAATCAACAGGTATTCCTCTTGTGCTTGATCAGTGCTGTTCAGTTTGATTTTCATCATGTAAGTAGCTTTTGCCATGGCTACTTGCAATGAGAATAATTACACGAAGGCTAGAATCCAGCAGGGTGCTTCTGTGGTATTTTTGAAAATGGACATAATACTGTAAAAAAAAGCTGGAGATCTCTGTGGAGCTAATTTCTGTGTGATGTGTAGGCATGGGAGCGGAAAATAAGAGCGATCACACTTGTGGTTAAGAGCTAGTACTGTGTTGGATTTAGGTCAAGATTTTGTACTAATGACCACTGAGGAGTCTAATACCTTGAAATATCATTATTGGTTTTTTTAAAAAAAATCTAAACGATAATCCGTAACATTTCACGAAAACTGTTTTACTATATATAATTTTGTGTTGGCAAAAGTTTTTTTTTTAAAAAAAAAACATGTTTTTAAAATGTAACTAGGAAAAATGAGTTGCAACAGACTTAGTATGCAATGATGAAGGACTGAAAATTTCTAGTAGAATAAAATGAAATATCAGATAATACTGTTTTGATATTACAAGGAGTAGCAGATCTGTGCTTTTTGTACATGGTAATCAATGTTCCCTCTAAGGTGCATGGGTACATGAGTGTGCGGAGCTTCATTGGCGCCGCACAGCAGCAGCTGAGGTTGATGCCTGATTACTTCTGGGGTTTGGATGAAACCCTCCCACGTCCGTGCAGACGGGTGAGGCTCCCGTGCAGCAGGGATGATAATTGGAGAGAACGTTGATGGTAACAAAAACAGAGGTGGGAAATTTGAAACAAACAAACATCTGGGTGAGATTCCCTCCGAATATCACCTGGCCTGATTTTGGAAGTTGGAGAGTATTTACTAGTTCACACACATACCAGCCAAGTGGTTACAGTTGCTCTGTCCACTGTCTGAAAGACTATTTGAGTACTTTTCATGTTAGGTATTTTGGGTTAAATTTAAGCCATTGCCTTTTGCTATTTCTCAAACTTAAATCTCATCTGTTAAAAAAATACACAAATTGTAATAATGACTTGTTAAAAAAATGATACTTTAAAAAATAATGTGCATCTCCTGTTTACATTGTTTTTGGGTCCACATTTTCATTCTAGAGTGTTTGTAATGAGAGGAAAGTGCTATTTTTTTAAGGTAACCACAAATAAAATGAATAAAACAGTAAAAATTCCAGATGTTTCCTAAGTGGTTATAACTAAATCTAACAAGAATTTGTCACAGGTGAAACCACAGTACTTTTTACAAAATCGTATATTTAATAAAGGGAAGCCATATTAAAAAAATAATTCAGGTTATTAACAGATTTTAAAGCATAGATCTTATATATGAATTTTTGCATGAGAACTAAGTGCTGTTACATTACTTCAGGATTGCACTGTGTGAGTATAAATGGTTGATCAGCTCTAATTTGAAACAATCGAGAGCTGCTAGACAAAGGAAAATGATTAAGTACTAATGTGCAGGATTTGCACATACTTGATACATACTTTACCTGACAAAATCTTATTCAATATCTAATCCCATGGGCTGGAGTGGTGTAAATAATGACTTGAGATGCAGTTTTTGTCTTTTATCATGCTAAGTGACCCCCACATAAAAGATAGAAAGCTGTGCAAAATAGGGGAAGCCTCTCATATTTTGCATAAAACCCATCAGGAGCTGGAGCATAGACGAGAAAAGCATATTTTTTTAAAAAAAAATCAGATAGATATATCAAATGTAATACTTAGTTTTAAAAAAGTTTATTGGTTAGAATGATGGGCTGGGACTCAGTAGACTGGAGGTTGAATCCCTGCTTGGCCTTGGAAACTCACTGGGGATGTGGAACTGGTAAAACCACTCCTTACATATTGCACTTACCTTGAAGACCCTATAACGGTCATGGTATGTTGGTTCTGGCTTGACACACAAGAAAAGTTAAAGTAACAAAAGGTATTGGATTGCATTTTTGGTTTAATTAAACAGGATTGTAACAGGTCATAGAAAGTGCATTCTGAGAAAGTTCTTCAACTGAGATTAACTAGGAAAAAATCTGATCATGCTGTCTGCTGCCACTGAAGATAACAAATACTAGATAATAAAACAGGAAGTCATTAGGCTATTACATTTGGAGAGAGAATTCATTCCCAGTTTTTCTAGCATTTTTATTTGCACAAGTAATAGTAGGAGTATTAATAGAATCTCAAAACCCTCTCTTTACTTGCCTAGATTAAATGAGTTGGAACATGAGTATTTTCATATAATGCAGAATGTGATATATTTTTTCTACCCACATCCATTCATTCATCTTCTTTTCTTTAACAATGCCTTCTTCCTTCAAATATTATTTTCATGTTGTGTCTACAAGGAACCTAGAAAAAAATCCTATGGAATTCTCAAACCTTACAATGGCAACTAGCCACGATCCTTGTATATGGTTGCATCTTGCCTGTGGCCTTCCTATGGGCAAGTGGTCAGCCACTGTGGAAGAAGAATACTGGCCCATGTCAGCCTTTTGGTGTGATCCAGTATAGTTCTTACATTCCTCAGCAGTAACCACTTTGAAAAATGCAAGACTTCCAAATCAGCATGCACTGATTGGACTTCCAGCTTGACGCTGCGACAAGACAGCAGCAGGAGGATGGAGCTCTGTCCCCTGGGCTGAATTCCTACCTGTTTGGGACCCCCTAGGGGGTTAAAAACACCCTGAAGAGGTGGTGCAATGGGGGAGAAGCCTGTTGATCATGGGGGGAACGGTGGTTACCAACGTTTGATTCAGGAAACTCCCCAATCAGCCAGCAGGCAGAAACGAGCAGCTGAACTAGCTTGCTTGCAAGTCGTCGGCAGCCAGCAATGGAGAAGTGATCGTTTTGTTTCGTTTAGTCGTTCAGTCGTGTCCGACTCTTCGTGACTCCATGGACCAGAGCACGCCAGGCCCTCCTGTCTTCCACTGCCTCCCGGAGTTGGGACAAATTCATATTGATTGCTTCGATGACACTGTCCAACCATCTCATCCTCTGTCGTCCCCTTCTCCTCTTGCCTTCACGCTTTCCCAACATCAGGGTCTTTTCCAGGGAGTCTTCTCATCAGATGGCCAAAGTAGTGGAGCCTCAGCTTCAGGATCTGTCCTTCTAGTGAGCACTCAGGGTTGATTTCCTTTAGAAATAATAGGTTTGTTCTTGTAGTCCAGGGGACTCTCAAGAGCCTCCTCCAGCACCACAATTCAAAAGCATCAATTCTTCGGCGGTCAGCTCTCTTTATGGTCCAGCTCTCACTTCCATACGTCACTACAGGAAAAACCATAGCTTTGACTATGCAGACTTTTGTTGGCAAGGTGATGTCTCTGCTTTTTAAGATGCTGTCAAGGTTTGTCATTGCTTTCCTCCCAAGAAGCAGGCATCTTTTAATTTCGGGGTGCTGTCTCCATCTGCAGTGATCATGGAGCCCAAGGAGAAGTGATAAATCAGCCTAATTAACGTCATGTTACCACTGGGTGAGAAATATTTATAACTATGTTGTTTTACTATCCCTGGACTAGACAATTCCTATGGTAGAAATAGCATCTTCTATTCCCCAACACTGACTGAGCAGCGGTGAATCTGGAGAGAGGAGGAGATGCAGGGAGACACAAGAAAAATAAACTGTATATTAATTAGACATTTAATTATACTGCAAGGAAGGAAGTCTGGTATTACTTTGTCATAAACTTAAGAATCTCCTGAAAACATCATTGGCAACAACTCTGGGAAACTAAAATTTGTTTATGCTACTACAGCTGTCTAAGGTGTTGGCAAAAAGCCTAGAATCAATGACCTTGAACAAATTGCTGTTTGGAATTCCCTTTCTTTTTGAGGATGGAAATGAACTACAGATAAATTAACCCAAAAAAGCCCAATCCAGCCAAAGTGGAACTTCTGAACTGTATCCTGGGTTTTGAACTTTACAGAACCTTGAGCCTTCTGGCGGGGAAAACTCTTATGTCTGAGACTGGATTCAAGCTTAACCCTGAAAATGATCCATCTATTAAAGTGGATTTAGGGAAGCAAGTATTGATGGAACTGGACTGATTACTTTAAGTATCTGGACAACTTTCATTTCGAATACAATTATTTGACATGACATACATAATGGCACAACAAGGACAACTTTGGGATGAAACAAAGTCTGCTCTTCAAGAAATTTTAGAAACAATGAAATCACATAACGAAGAGGTGAAATTATTCAAGGAACAGTTGAACAAGAACTATAGTCAACAGGAGACAGGGAATAATGAATAAGGAAATGTGTCGAATGATGTATGCCAGTCAAAAGAAGGGTTCGAGGAAATTATAGGAGAAAAACTACGAGATTTAACTCTAACCCTGGAGCCAAGGAGAATTTTAGGTGTGCTAAGGAAAGATAAGGGGAGAGAATCAGCAGATCTAATTAAAAAGAGCCTGGATGATCTATTGGAGATAGATCAAATGTATACAGTGGGGTCTCTACTTAAGAACGTCCCTACTTAAGAACAATTCCACTTAAGAACAGCTCCATTTGCTAAATTTTGCTTCTACTTAAGAACAAAAATCCAGATAAGAACGGGAAAAAAAAACTTTCCTGCTCTTTTTTTAACCTTAGGTCATCTTAGGTTAAAAAAAA